TGAGACACCAAGGATGTCCTGTATGAGTGCTCCACTCTTTGATACCAGACTTATAGGTTTGGCTATCCCAGATCTAGTACAGCTGGTCATTGGGAGTGGTAGTCGACCTTACGAAGGCTATTGAGTGTCGATAGAGGATCATCCACTCTCGGCGTCATGAGAGGAATATCCCATGTGTTCTTGCTCAGACAAATCCCTGGCTAGAGTCATTCGGGTTGAGAGAGAAAGAGTTCTCCGGGAGAATCCGATTAGAACGAGACTCGAGTAGAAACCGTATGGGTCTGATAGCACCATGCTCGATATACGGTCTCTGGGATATTAGATGGATGAGGGACTATAGGTACACGGTAACTGAGGACAGACAGGTCCAATGGATTGGATTCCCCTGTATCGTCTGGGGATTACGACGTAGTGGCCTAGTACGTCCGTAGTTGATGAGTCAAGTGAATTATTACAGAGATAATAATTCACTGAGTTAGAAGGAGTTCTAACAGGTATGACTCACGGCCAGCTCGATATTGGGCCTAGAGGGTCACACACATATGGTAGGCATTGCGATGAGTAGAGGTTCTGATATGAGATATTCGACGGAGCCCTTGTCTTATTGGATGCAGATCCAATATCCACTAGGGGAGGACTCATTATGGTTTGACACGGGACCTCTATAAATAGGAGGGATTTAGAGCCTCATAGGCTAGAGTCTTTGCTTGCCTTTCCTATTCTCCTCTCCCTCTCCATCTCAGAGCAGGCCTGTAGTTTTGAGGAGCGTCGTCGCAACCCTGCTGTGTGGATCACCGCTAGAGAGGATGACGCTTGACCTCCTTCACCCTCTCCTAAGGATCTGCAAGGAAACAAGGATATACGATCTCCCTAGGCAACACAATCTACTCTATACGTAGTTTTAAGTTTCGCGGATTTTGCGCACCAATCTTCGCACGACGACGAACATCTCTTTGGGAATCGGGGATTTTGTTTTCTTGTTCTTCCGCTACGCATGTGATGTCGCCCTCAAGATTTCCCAACAGAATTATCATAAATAGTTTTGATAAAATCTCGAAAAAGACCCACTTTCAAAAATTTCGATATAATTTTTTTTTATTAAATGATAATTTTACTCTTGCATTTCAACTCTGGGCTTCTTGCGTCTCCGTCGTTGGCCACTATTGTGCGTGAGCTACTGATTACCTTTGTTGACGGTCAAAACCTAGTCACTTGTGCCTCTGCCCAAGCAAGCCCACTACTAGGGCGTGTCTGATGGAGGCCAACAAGGTCCTCGGAGATAGGGGCCAATAGGGGTTAGCAAAGATAGAGGCGGGCGAAGGTGGTAGCAAGTCTGATGAGGACTAACAGGAGTCTATAGAGGCAAGGGTGGATCAAATAAAGGATAGTTGAGGTATGCGGAATGCAATGATAGGTTCGACAAAATAGAGGGGAGGGAAGGTCGGGTAGCAATACTAGCTATTGTGTTGTGAAAAATGACGAGACGGCAAGAGCCAATGAGATCCACAAAGACAAAAGCGATACAGAAAGGTAAGAGCACTGGTGTAGTGTAGGGCGTAAACAATCGCAGCAAATTTTACATAGGTAGGGGTAAAATGTCTTTTCATGCCAGAAAAGAATGCTCTATGAGTATTTTGAAAAATGGGTGCTTGTAAAAAATTATCATAGGCTTTTTCTTTTCATCCAATCAAACCATGTTGCTTAATGAAATGTTCCCATGCAAGACGTTATTGGAGGGAGGAACAGCGTCCATGTCTGAGATTTTTGTGTTCCTTTCCGGTTACTAGCATACTAACTGCTTTTAAAATTGCAGATTTGAGGCAATGGTGAGGGAAGCAACTGTCCACTTGGAAGAATTTTGCCACGTTTCTGCTGGCGAATGGATCCATATGCAAGGCAAAGCAAGCTATGCTCGAAGTTGCCGATGATGCACGCAGCTGAAACTGATATAGAGAATAACAATGTAACATTAATATATTATTAATTTATAAAAAAAATATGAATATATTATTAACTTCAACTTAGATATTTTGATAAGATGATTCTTAAATGGAGCCAAAGTATAATATTTTGAGCTCGACTGCCATAAGTTTGAGACAGGTATGACAACAGTTCTTGTCTTTTCGAGAGAGAGAGAGATGATAAATTTTCTCCAAAGAAGCTCACCACCATTTGCAGGTTTGGAGGATAAAATTTGTGGAAAGAACAGACACATGCTATGCCAAGGAAGAGGATCTTAAATCAAATTCTCACAAAAACAATTTTTCAACCTTAAGTCTTCCAAACATGCAAAATTATCCATCAACTAGTCTTGCCTATCACAGGATTAAATCACAAAGCAGACATCAAAGTTGTAAATCCAGATCAAAACTAGCATAACCAGTAGCAGAAATATAATTTCAAGCTCATCGCTTCTTCGACACACCGACCGTCTTTCCCCTTCTGCCAGTGGTCTTTGTGTGCTGACCACGGACTCGAAGACCCCAAAAGTGACGGAGACCGCGGTGGTTCCTGCACACAAGTGCTACTGCATCAACAATTTGAAGCTAGACAAAACAATGTTTGCCACAAGTCCACTGATGATAGGAATGATGCAAAATGCAAATTCAATGAACAAAGAATAAAAATCCGGCTTTCACATGGCAATAGAGAACCGAGTAATATCATACTAATCATAACAAGCGATGCAATGATGCACACTTCAAAGCACAAATCTTGTCAATGAGTAATGCCTCATAATTTGTTAACAGCTATTCCTAGATACTGACATCAAACACTCAGTAACATATTCTAATACAAGGTCCTTATGCTAAACTTCTTGGCCATAATGCATGGCAACATGGTCTCATCGACTGAGCAACAATATCGACTTTCAAGTGAGGCTTATCATACTAACCGAAAAAAGAAAATGACAAATTGAGATGCTAATGACATCTCCACTCGTTAATCAGTATATGTTGAAACTCATTTTCAACTTATGTAATCGGGTCATAGCTTGCACATCAGGTAATACACTGTTTAAACCTGACAAGTTAAGATGCTTTGTGACAATGAGGTGAACTTAATAAGGAGAGGTGATTGACATTAAAAGAAAATGTCTTGGAATTGGGTTTGGAGAAAAAAAAATCAGTTTACTCTTAGAAAGAAGTCCCAACATAAGTCTTGATAATAAGTTAAGATGCTTTGTGACACGAGGTGAACTTAATAAGGAGAGGTGAAAAGAATCAATTTACTCTTGGAAAGAAGTCCCAACATAAGTCTTGATAACAACAATCAACAAACATGCCAATAAAGCACACCTCCAAGGACGAAGCTAAGGAACTAAGGGCAAACACAGCAGTAAACAAGATGATTCGATCAAATGAATCACACAGCAACAATTAAGTTTTAGCAGTAGCAACCTTATCTTTTTCAGGCGCTCCAGATCATCTCTAAGCTTCATGTCCAGAGAATTTGAAACAATCTGGGAATATCTGCCATCCTTGTAGTCCTTCTTCCTGTTCAGAAACCAATCTGGAATCTTGAACTGCCGTGGATTAGCAACAACAGTCATAAGATTCTCAAGCTCGGCAGCGGAGAGCTCTCCAGCCCTACAGATAATGTAACGGAGTAAGAATTACAAGAATAAGAGGTCAAATTGAACCCAGAACAGCTAACTTAGTTTACTCAACAAATTCAATTCAAAGCCACTAATTATGAGAGAACAGAATGGATCTCTGCAGTAATTATGAGGAGGCATAAATTCTACTCGATAAAATAATTATGCAAGCCAAATTATCTATCAATTGTAATCATTGCCAAACAAAAGATTAATAAAAATATCAATTTGAAAAAGAACATCAATAACTAAAATGATAAAGACTCGTAATGAAGAACGCTTTACAACTATCCAAAAACAATATAACATAATCACATCCAGAAACAGTTAAATCTGATGGCTAAACATGAGACACAGAATCCCTAACTAAAGAAGATCTCAAGCAGGCTACAGAACAAACACCTACCCATCCTAGATCAGTAATTAGTAATAAAAGAAGGGAGTCAAACAACGATTTTTTTTATTCCCAAAAAGCAATCAAGAAAAATAAAACACTAAAATATCACAAGAACATTGAAATCTGAAAATTGATGTCCAGATTCGATATCTTTTTTCCCAAATTCAACGTCACATAAATTAAAGAACTAAAACGCAGCCAAAGGATCAGAAGTTGCAACAACAGGAGAAGATAAAAAGATGACCTTTTGTTCATGTCGACGTCGGCCTTCTTGCACACGATGTTGGCGAACCGGCGACCGATACCCTTGATGGAGGTGAGGGCGAACATGATCTTCTGCTTCCCATCTACGTTGGTGTTGAGGACACGAAGAATGTGTTGGAAGTCCTCGTTCGCGACCAGAGACTGCAGGTCCAAAGCAGACCACGAAAAAACAAGAAGCGATCACAAAATTGTCTTGAAAGTAAAGATCGTGACTCACGAAAGAGCAATCCAAGAGAGAACCCAACCATGGCGGCGGCGGTTATGGATTTATTCCTCGCGCTGCTGTTCTCAAGGGCGCTCGCCGGCGGAATACGGCGGAGGAAGCTTTATAGAGGGGAGACGACGAGGAAAGTAAAACCCTAGGGAATTTTACATATCCGTCCTCAGACACTTTTGAAATAGCGTATATGTTCTTTCAAAGTCCTGTCGTGTGATTTGGCTTGATCAATTGTGATATTATTTGGTTGGGCCAGAACGGGCCGAACCGAGCCCGGCCGGTCCAGCCCACATGTATGTGATCCGTGAACTCGGTGTGCGCTACGTCACGTCGACCGGCCGTGCTTTTAAGTAGTGGGGTTGGCGAGTCGCGATGCAGCCGAAGTCGAGTGAACCCTAAAACGTTCCCCTTGCCATCTGTGCGGGTCGGAATCTGTTGCGGCGAGTGGCATCGATCTTGCACCGGGTGCTTCGACGCAGAAGCGACCGGAAGTGGGAGAAGCGATGGACTCTGCGGGCGGAGGACCAGGCGACGAAGGGCCTCACGGGGTACTCTCTCCGCAATCTTTGTCCGTGCTGGGCGAAGGGATCTCCCTCGTGTTCTCTCGCTGGACGGCGCTCCAGATGGCGGTGGAGAACGCGTGGGGTGGGAAAGACTCCCGCAGCAATTCCGAGGAGCTCGCCTCCACCATTCTCTCCTGGTTCTCCCAATCTAAAGGTGCCATGGTTGTTGTTTTGAAAATTCGTGCGTCTACGCTACCTCTTTGAGCTCTTCCTTATTTTCCCGTAAGAAAGATCCTCTTTTTCATGATCGTATATACAGAATTGGGTATTACAATTGAGTTTTTTTAATCTTAATTCTAATAGCATGCCTTTTTAGCGACTTAGATTTGACCCTTCTTGTCGAACTTTCTTAAATTTCAATTTTTACGGTGGGTTTCAATGTTAGTATCAGAATTCTATTTCTCTTGACCCGGGTTGTAAATGAGTGAAGCAGTTTGTGAGCAGCTCCATGTTTGGTTCGTTAAATGTCCGCTAGAACTTAATTCGTGCCTAATTTTATATCTCGGATTTTCGATTAGCCAGCTTGAATATGGGTAACTTGGTTCGTCGAGGCTCACTTGTTAATAAGTTCATGAACAAGCTTATTTGTAGAATCGTAAACAAAATCATTTACAAACTCATGGACAAGGTCATCTATAGTCTCATGATTAAAGGCTCGTTCCTAAGTTCACAAATAGTTAGTAAATCTGTAGAGTTGTCATTAAATTATTTCTTAAATTCATAGATATAAGGAAAATGTGTCATGTATCATTGTTTTATATTTTGATGGATTATAGGCCATTTTATATTTGAAGTTCAGATATGTATTGGATATACTTAATGATGATGTTTTTGTTGTTGTTTTCTTTATTTTGGATTGTTTTGTTTGTTTTTCATGAATGATACTTATGCCTACTAAATTATTATCTTAGAACTTCTATCGGAATAATAGCTGGATTTTTAAACAACATGAATTTGTGCTCGAGCTTGGCTTATTTCATATACGAGCTTAACCTCAACTCTTTTGACAAGATAGATATGCTACTGATGAGCAGAATCTGAGATGATTTTAGCTTCTTGAATATAAATGAAGCTGAGCTCAAACATAATTGTGAAGCTCAACTCAGAACTTGAGTTGAGCTTGAGCCCCCCTAAAATTAGTCAAGCCAAACTTGAGTTGCACAAAGCTTGGCTTGGCTCGATTGCAACCCTACTTTTGATTCCATTGTTGTAAGTTCTGTTTGTAGGTTACACATTACATTAGTTTATTATCTTATTTCCTAAGTTGCTGCATTGTGCCAGAAGAAGAGTGGCTGAGGCCTGGTATTTTGATTCAACGTGGTAATTGAGTTTTGACATTTATTTCACTGTTCTGTCTAGGACCACTTTATATTGATGATCTGGAAAATCTGCTTGAGGAGAACATGGAAGCTTTGTTCAATACAGAGATCGATGATGGTAGCATTGAGGAGGTGCTTCTTTCCATCACATCAAAAAATTCTGAAACATTTTTCCCAGTTTTAATTTGTTTTTTAGTAGTATCAAAACCATATCAGTTGAATGCATGTGAACCCAATCATATGCTTTTTTTGACAAGGCCACCTAATCTTTTAACTTTTCCTGGATATAATGATTCTTACATGAAGCCCTTTTGTTATTTAGCATCAGTTCTATAAGTCTGTTCTCAAATCCATTTCCTTACTGCTGCCCGTTAGTACTCGAGTATGCCGTAATCATCTTGAGATGATATTATCCGGTTTATGTGGTTTTAATGCCTTATTAATTCTGATCTTTCATAATTCCATTTTACTTCTTTCTTCTTCAGTGTGCCTTCTGGCTCTCTATGTCACTCTATCCTTCTATGTTCAAATATCTGAGTGGGAACTCTTATTTCTTTTATTCCACTTGATTTTTAAAAGTTAATTCTTTGTGGATGTACTGTAATTGCCTTTTTTTGTTCTCATGCACTGCTTAGATGCTTCATGGTTTCATTTTACTCATTTCTTCTTCAGTATACATTCTGGCTTTCTATGTCCTCCATCCATCTATGTTTAAACATCTGTTGGTTTAGTATTGCAATTACCTCCTTTTTTAGTTTCTTACCTCTTTAGATTCTTGGGATTCTACCCGACTTATTTGTTTGAATAGTCGTAATAGTTGATAAAGGACACTTTTGATTCATCAATTAATTTTTAAACTGTTAAAAATTTTGATACAGGTAGCTGAAGAATTAATGATTATGCATGAAGCTTGTCTTGAAGGCAATTATGAATCAATTGAAAAGCTGAGGAGGTCTGGCCCTGTTGTTAGTGCTGTTTCTCAGAGCAAAAGGGTAATGCATTAAGGATTTCTAGTTCATTTATATCTGTTCTCCATTGTCCATTTCATATCTATATTTTTTAGTTACCCAGATGTTGCATTAGTTTAGATCATCTTGGTTTAACAAGCCATAGTGCCTTAGTACAAGTCAATAAATTACTCAGAAGATGTTTCACTCCGATAAACTTTTTTTGAGATTATATTTGATGTATTTATTAGAAGAGAATGGAGAATGGTACTGGAATACTTATATTACTTGCTTTTTAACCTGTCACACTATTTTGCCAAGGTTCTGAAAACCACATCAGATTGGTACATAATGACCATACAGTACAGGACAGTAGGCCTTGGCACACCAAAAATGAATTAAAAATTGTTTTATATGTTGATGCCAACCAGTGCAGCAGATGTATCAGTATACTGGTACTAGATGTGATGGTACACCAGTATTTTACACCTTTTTTTAAAGAAAATTTTTTTTTCTAGTAATGCAAGTTCCTTTTTTCTATTGTTAAGGACACCCACCCATTCCTTTGTAATTTTGAATGAATTTTATTAGTCTTGTGTTCTCTCAAACTGCTACAAAGAAAATATCCTTCCCAATCCTCCTGTGTGCATATCCCTGTAGTTATAACAATTCTAGCTTATTCATGAATGGCATGTCCCTGAAACTTATGCTATTAGTGTAAAAGATGTTCTCGGGGTGTGATGCATATGCTTGAGGATGTCGGAAATTAGATTTCGGATGCATTCTGTTCTTTTGAGTATAACCATGTGAAAACAGGTTTAATATTTTTCATAAGATGGAGATCAAAACACCAAGGCATTTGGAAGTCTGGTTCCTACTTGATGCATCTTTTGTAGTTGAGAGTAGTGCTAAATTTAGCAATATATTTGGCAATTTGGTGAATCATAAAAGTTCTTTTCTTATGATCTTTTAGAGCTTGTTGAAGAAGGTACATTTCTTCTTGATTGTTCAATTAGAAATTCATGTCTGTAGCTTCCCTCAGTAAACATCAACATGATTGACTCTGGTTGAACTGGGCATATATGGAGTAATATGAGCTAATATGAACCAAACCACTCATTCAGTTGATGTACTCTCCCATTTGTTTCATCATTTGGGGATTTACTAAATGATCCAATCCTGCAACCTTCCAGTGCTTGAGACGTATTATTTTAGTTGCTTTCCTTCATTCTGATCGTATTTATTATTTCTTTTCCTGCTTACCCTTATTTAGAAGATCAGAACTTTGCTGTGTTTTGCTGTTTCCGATGGAATTGCTAAAGAAATTTGGTGATATATAGAAATCATGCTACCTCAAAAGTTTTGAGATTCTTTTCCACAAGCGAATAAATTTGTCGATTGTATGCAGGGGTATATGTAGTGCTGACAGCAAATGTTTTTTTTTGTTCATGACGTAGGTGGTTGATGACGATAGTGAATATGAGAGTTCAGATGAAGAAGCATCAGAAATGATGGTTGATGAGCCAATGCCACATGAAATGGTTGTGGAAAAGCCAAAGCAGAAACAAATGCCAAATGAAGATGGATGGTCCACAGTTACTTCCAGGAAAAACAGGGGTAAGAAGTAATGGTGGAAGGCAGTGAGAGTATGCAACTCTTTGTTGATCAATCAAATCGAGTCCTTTTTTGCTGTGGCCTTGGAGAGAGAGATGTTTAGGGTGTTTTGATAGCATTACGTTATGGTTTACCCACTTCATTTTTATTTATAACCCTTTCGATCAAGCTTGTGGTTATTATCACCCATTGTTTCCGATGTAATATTTTATGAGAAAATTTCGTGATAATAGTAGAACAAGTAATTCCTAAGTATAATTCGTGTGGTGCCAAGACCAGTTTTAACAGAGGAGATTTATCTAAATGTTTTTCAAAGTTTGATTTGATGGATTAATAATGGAGATTGTTATACTATCATTGTAGGTATAAGTTTTTTTTTATTTCTTTTCTTGTTAATGGGATTTAAAAAATAATTCTTCAATAAAATAGGGTGAATTTATTTTTGTAAACTCACTTTACGTGAGAAGCTCCTCATCTCGTCTTATTTAAGAGATTTTTTTGTTCCTCATTTAGAGTTAGGTTTCCTGGATTTTTAAAAAATATTGTTTATTTTTTAAATATATGAAAATTTTAATTTGTATTAAAAGGTGTTATAATTTTTTTATGTTTTATGTAATTTTTAATTTTTTTATACTTTTATATTTTACTTGTATTTTACTTTTAAATTAGGATTTATGTTAGTTGAAGATTAATTGATATTATTTAACTTATATTTTGATGAATAAATAAATTATAATAAATATTTATAATTTATGCATGTTAACAAAGCTTTTGATATACTTCCGGAAAGAGATAATATAATCCGGTAAAAATAAAAATAAAAATCTAAAAGGCGACAATCATAATTTTTATAAAGGTTGAATATGATTTGTTGTTGTATCCGCAAAGGGGATTTGTCAAACTCTATTGAGAGAGTCATGATAAAAATGAGACACACACAACAAATGGATGATTCACCTGTTTAAATGGATGGAATAAGAAACTCTTTAGTTGAATTTGGAATAAATCCTGAAAACAAAGGCATGTAAATCAAATTTGCAATCGAGTACATTTGCAATGTTCAAGGTTGGTCAGTTGTGGTGGGAACCAAAGGAAAATTATTGCAGCATATAATAAGAATTTCTCATAGCTGCAAAGCTAGAGTTTTCAAAGCCTCGAACAGACTCTTGGATCCTGGTACAACATCATTATTCAATGATACCAAAAGTTACAGTCTGATATGTACTACTTGGTTCGGTATCTTATCTTAGCAGTCCGACATGTTACCCGAATTGGTATCAAACAAAGATTTAAAACCTTAAACAGAAGATTTTTTTATAAAATTTGCATTTAAACTAATTTCCGACGGGATCTCATGTTTCAACTCTTGAAACCTCTTAAGTAGGCTGGACTTGTATGTTTCAACTTCAGCATATTCCACGGAATTTGGAGTGGAGCTAACAATAGCAATCGCATCTGCTTGGTGCAAAGCCTCGGCCGCTTCATCTGCAATTTCCACAAAAAAAGAACGAGGTATGTCGCAATAAATTTCGGATTGCTTATGCAACATGCAGCACAAAACGACAGATAATTCAGGTGGTGATCGACTTGAGCTTCAAAGACCCCAAAACTTGAATTAACACACATTAATGCCACCAAATCTCAAACTTCGGAGCATGTTGATGCACGACAGGTAAATTAGTGCTACATGAAGTTGGTTCAGAAGAATTTATGCAAGATTAGTGCCACCCTTAAAATCAAATTATTATATCATTTGGAATATGGTTTTCTTATGGGGATCAGGCCTGCATGACTACCACACTTTGAAGACACTACACCAGCTGGCTTGAACCCAAGAATATTGCATAAACCCTAACTGACAGAATTGAATGACACATGACCCACCGAGTGAGCATGGGTAACAATACAAAAACTTCATAGGGAAGATCTGTCATGTCTGACATAATAACTATAAACATATAGAAGCCTTGAAACAGGAAACTAGATCATGAGAAAAGGCAAATCCCTATTGCTAATCCTACAGAATAAACCTAGTGATGCTCGAAACGGTCTTGGTTTTAAACTGCAGAATAACCTCGACATGCCCTTTGGTTTATACAGAAACATGTGTGCAAATATATAGTGATCAAAACTTTGACTTGATATTTATACAACTGCATAACGGAGAGTGAAATGGATGGTAGAATGACTAATCAGGTAAAATCAGAATTTGGTGATGACAAGATAAGATGCAAATTTAGATACTTCTTAACGGTATCATGCAACAAACACAAAACACACTTATAACATCATTTAGCTTGGACTTACCAGAGTGAGAAAGGGCGACAAGAGTTTTAAGAGCTTGTTTGCGTGTCTTATCATCCTTGGCAGTCTTCAGCATATTCAACAGGTCTAAGGCTCCGCCCATCTCTACTACTTTCATCCTCCTCTCATCTATTAAAAAATGAGTCATAAATTGACAATAAAAGAAAAAAAAGTTTGTCATTTCAAAATCCTAATCAAACACTTTGGTGAACTCCATCCATTTTAACAAGCAAAACAAGAAAAGGATGATAAATGCATTTTACAGGAAGAGGAGAATTTTTCAGTTTCCTTTCTGATAGAAAGGAGCTTAACAAAAGCTCAAGATGGTGCTATGGTGCTAGTTATGAACCTAATATAATTTGTGTTTTGTTGGAATGTGATGGTTTTTTTACTTCTAACAATGACTTTGCAGGAATGGACTATATTATGAAGAATCTTAATGTTTGGGTTTACTCCGATTCTCTACAATCCATCACTCCGCTGAGTTTCTCTGCTTCTTTTATGTGGCTTGATAGAAGTATACCAAATGATTGTATTCAGGTTGCACAATGGGTAAACGTAGTTAAATGGTAACTGGGAGGTCATACTTTAGCTAGTACTGCTAGACTTCAAGGAATTGCTCACCACTGGGGTATGAATTCCAATGGGAGTCATAGCCTTATTGAAACTCTGTATCCATGTTTTGGTAGTAGTTAAAAGCAAGTCCTGGAAAGGAAAAGAATCTGATTTTGAACCCATACTCAATAAAAGAACACCCAAGCGAAAGTACGAGTAATCATTTTCTTCTCGGTCAAAATCAATAAGAGAAGCAGCAGGAATCACAATTAGAATTTGATATATAGTTTAAAAATATTTTCCATAAAAATGGACTCTTTACTCTGAAACTGTTATTTAAATAAATTGACAACATTACTGAGATGAAGTTCCTTATGCAGTTTAAGAAGATGTAATATAAGCTCAATGGCATGAGAAGATCCATGTAGCCAAATCCCAAATGGTAAGGACATCATGTCTTCTTGTTGTTGTATAGAAGAGTTCTGCTCCATATATATATGGTGCACTAGGGGTCATAAAGTGAAATGAACATATTTCCGAAAATCAAAGTAATGTTAAGAGTAGGAAAAGAAGTCCACAATCAACAGTAATTAATTGAATGCTTCACTGCAAGAAATCATGAAGCATTCGTACAAAAGAATCTAATAAAATTTCACAAAGTGGTGGGAGTGCGTGAACAAACCAGAAAAGGAAACATTTGTGCACCATCATTGCTTGAGAATGATAAAAAAATACAAAATTCTAAACTAAGGACAACATGCTACGAAAGTATGAGAAATACCATCAACTGCATACAGAGCCAATCTGGAAGCTCCCATTCTCTTAAACAAGGGATCTTTGACATGCAAAAGAGAGATGGACTGTTGCAACAGAGTCTCTCCTGAAAACTTGTTGAATGACAGTATCAGAGATCCTTTCTTTCTGATTAGCATATGATCCTAGATGGATAATAACCATTAAACATGGAATATGTCTATCGAATTAAGTGCCATACCCATGTAAGGAAAGAACTCAAATGCAACAAGTGCTGCAGTTCCTATAAAAAAGAGTTTCAGCAACCAACCAGCTTTCCTCTCGGCCTCTTCTTCAAGTGACATATCATCTGTAAAGTATGTAAAATCAAATCATTTTTTCACATGAAGCTTCTTTCTTGAATATTAATAATTCCATAAATTTAGCCAAGTCAAGTATGCAACTTGTGTATTATAACTACGGGGACATCTCAAGAGAACTAAGTCCTAACAGCTCCTTTTTATGTTAAAAATTGCAATCAGGATTAATTATCTTGTCCTGTAAGTATCATAAAAGTTAAGGAGCATATGAAAACTTTGCTCTTGATAGTTTCTTATTTTAATGGTTTATATAAAAATGGTGATTCAAGGAAAGTTATTTTCCATTGATAGCAATAGTAGGTAAATCCTACTCATTGAAACTTAATAAAAGCGAAGGCGATTCTTCATCACCCATTCATTTATTAAAAGCATCATCTAGAGTAGGTCATCATGTTTGTCATTCAGTACACAAGAAGCCTTGGGAACTGATTACCATAACGTGATCATTTTGATCCTTTGTTCTTATGTTTTGAGGTAGCAAGACTGCAACATGCATATCATATTATCTTTGCAAGTATCTTGCATAACAAACTACTAATGTGCTTTATCAGGTTCCAAACTTTTCAAAGGCCACAAGCTAGTTATATAGGTGAATGTTAACCATCACTTTATGTCTGTCCCTTTCGTGGAACGTGTTTTTCATCATGAAAGGCACAGAATATGTTATGCGAAGGTCCAATATGCTCCGAACTCTGAACTCAAAGACATTATGAAGTGAAAAAATCTCAATTTATAGATTAAACATTATCCACAGCAAGAAACTTTCCTATGTGCCTTGAAGTCTGAAAAGAAAATGTTATTGAATATATATTCAAGAATGAAACTTACTAAAAGGTTCACAAGGTCAGGATGAGGATAGGCACAAAAATGTCATTAAAGGTATAATTAAAATAAGAGAATAAATCTAAATATCTTTATATATTATAGTATTTCTAAATTTAATATAGTATGAATCCCTAAATTTCTAAAATACTAACTTATAAAAATAAAATAGTTGGGACCTTATGACTTGTGTTATTACTGAGAACAGAGAACCATTGCTCACGAGATTAAAATGCCACCACTCCTACCCACACTCTTATTATCTCCCCTCAACTCTCGGTATCACACTGATGTTGGCAGATGCGGGGAGTGACATGGGATGGCCTCATGTGGAGGGTCTTAAAAGAAAATAAACAACAAATATTTTGTAATTGAACAAATAGGCCAATATGGCACAAAAATAACTATATCGAGATTGATTCAGTTGATTTTGAGAAATATTACCCATGATCTAGTGATTCAATTGAAATGTTTAATTAAATCGGGTTGAACCAAGCCAACCTGGATTTTGCTTGGGATGGTTTACTATGAATGTAATCCAACTTTTTCTTATAACATCCATCAATCCTCAATTGACTCACTATCATATTAGTCACTATTCATTTCTTCATAAACCCCTGCCCACACATAATCATCAAAAAAGTTGTTTGAGAAATCAAGCAAACAGAGAATGAATCATCACCTCTCTCGTTTATCGTTGAGAACTGTCTAAGGAAAGATTCTCTCACGGTGTGTTTTCCGCTCGACATCTGCAACCAAACCACCACTATGTCACTATTACAAGAGACATAACAATTAGTCAGATCAAACTAGGGTTTAACAATTGGATTCAGGGAAACACTAAAGGAAGCTTACGAGCATCTGGCGGAAGTCGGGAAGGGAAGGGCCAAAGAACCGCGAGCCGCCACCACGCACAATCTCGGCCGTCGAGGATCCATCATAGGGCAGCCGGGCGTATGAGGGCGGGGGCATCCCGGGAAGGACGGAACCGTCCCGGGGCACGGCGCGTTCCGGCGAGGGGAAGAAACCCCGCCGCCCCGTGTGGCGCAGGGCTCTCGGTGGAAACCGCCGCATAATTTTGCTGACAACCAGTGAGCGGTCGCTCCCTCGCGGCTTATTAATCGCCCCCTTTGATCGGCCTGATGGGTTATCTCCAGCCTTCCGCATAAAAGCCGAGCGTCACAGAAGTATCTGCCGTCCATTCCTCGCACGATCCATCTGAGACGTCGACTGTCCCTCGTGCAAGGTGTTCGCTGTTTCAAAGCATGTAGACGATCCTCCTTTTGGGCCTAAGCTTGCCCAGGCCCAAACTTGTTTTACCCACCATTGCATGTGGAGGTGACGGGGAGGAAAGGATATGGTGGGAGGGCGTGATAGCGTGCCACGTCACGACGTCGAGCCACGTGGAATCATCTCGGAGTGCGGCGGAGGCAACAGCGGTCACAAAGACTGCACCGGTGCCAAGAGAGGAAGATGGTGAAGGCGAGTGAGCGACACAGAGAGAGAGAGAGAGATGATCCGAAGGCGCATGCGGGAAATGGATTCGTGGTGGCTTGAACCATATAAAACTAAAGAAAAGACGAGGAGTAAGATCTGTGGCAGTCGAAAAACTAGTATGTGACTGAACTCACTCATCGCATGCATCCAATCCAATGTTTGATCATTGCAGCAGAAGTTTCTAATTACGTGATTCCGAATGATCAACTTGCAGTGGTGACTTGGAAAGAACCATTATGAAATGATCAGAACTGATCAAGAATTATTAGCGACATCCCAAAGTGATCCAAAGCAAAAGGTACAAATCAAACTGCACATCGAGAGTTTAAGTGGGAAATGTTCGAGTCAGATTCTGATGATATGACAAGTTAAACAATAATGATAAACCAGGGAAAAAAGGACCATGAAGTATCATCTCAAAAACATTCCAATCTTTACACATCCTGAAATCAGTCCCACACAAAGGAAGACGAAAAGAACTGGTCAGAACTGTTGTCAGCCCTCGATGACCTGCGGTCCCAGGTATTCGATAACATTCATCTTCAAATCCTTCGATATATCGATTTCTTCCAACCATCCAAAAGAAGAATCCTCCTCTCCATTTTGGTCAGTGGCACCATCTGAAAAATGGTAACACGAGTGTGTCGGTAAGTGAATCTTTTCCACTTCAAGAAGTCATCCTTAATCAAGCTTATAACTTCAGACAAAGCAAAGAGATCGATATCTTAAGTATATGGCTGGTGCAATCCATCTTAAGTACAAGAAATTTTGCCAAGTTTGTGGTTCCAGTGGATTCTGGATGGATAAGTCAGTATTGAGGCATTTATGCAGCCAAAGAAGCATGTGTTTCAAGCAATGAAGAGATGTTATCTGGATGGATAAGTCAGTACACGAGAGTGTCGGTAAGTGAATCTTTTCCACTTCAAGAAGTCATCCTTAATCAAGCTTATAACTTCAGACAAAGCAAAGAGATCGATATCTTAAGTATATGGCTGGTGTAATCCATCTTAAGTACAAGAAATTTTGCCAAGTTTGTGGTTCCAGTGGATTCTGGATGGATAAGTCAGTATTGAGGCATTTATGCAGCCAAAGAAGCATGTGTTTCAAGCAATGAAGAGATGTTATCTGGTAGCTTGTTCAAAAGAAAAGAATAATGGAATATATAGGAACAACAATTTAGATGACAGACTAGAGCTGAATACTACATTCACAATCATCATATAGGATTAAATAAGACAAACCGTCTGACTTGCTTTATGTATTTATGTATTTTACTTTAATGCTTTAATCAAGACGGTTTGTTATGAAGGTGTCATATTGATGTATTTTACTTTAATGCTTTAATCATACTTGACTTGCTTGGCCATACTACAATGTATGTGGCACGTAACCTGGATACTATATAGAAGAAGGTCGGTAGTTCTCTTGTGTATCATCCTGCTATGACTACCAAACCATTCAAGTATAACAAAAAAGGATGTTTCTAAGGGTAAGCTTCAGAATTAAAGCAAGATGTAACTCTTTGTAGAAACTGCTTACTTGGATATGTCCTGTAGGGATAATCCCGATAGTATGTAATATCACGATCCTCTTCTTTCGAGTAGGGGGGTCCTTGAACATCAAGCACAGCACAGGCGGTAATGGCTGTGAATGTATGAATGTTGCCTCCGGTTGTCGGATAAAGAATTGAAGTGTCGCAAGGAGCAGTAAAATCAGAATCCACCACCAACTTGGCTAGTCTCACTGCGAAACATAGCATACATGGTCAAGCCAATAAACTGAGATTTGATGAATAAAATCATACAGAAAGAAGGCTCACATTTAGGTGAGGGCTTAGAGCTATTTGATGCACCAGGATCGAGCCAGTCATAAGACTTTATATGCACCGATCCTGCCAGTAATTTGCTGAAAACAGTCATCCCAGGGTGGTTATGGAGAGGAATAATTGCTCTCGGGGGCAAGAAGAAGATACTTATCTGCAAAGAAACAGAACACATAAACCAGAATGTATTAAGAAAATCCATTCATGGTAACCATATTTACCGAATTACTAAAGTTTTCAATCCATTAGATGCTTAAAAAACAAATATGTCTCTCTACTTTCTGTTATCAAATAACAGGAGATTTTCTAGGCCGATTATTATTTCTTGTTTTGTGATCTATATCTCCTCAGCATATTCAACAAATTCTTCTTCTCCAAGTGCATTTTCAAGCAACCATTTCTAGTGATACAGTTTACAAGTCTTACCGAAAAGTTATCGCACTTGTAAATCATCGCATATGTGATCTTTGGGGTTCCTTTGGAAGAACTTTTAACCCTGAAGAGTGCATCCGTGCTTAGCCCAACATCTTCTGGTCTCATTTCATCTGGAGACAAAAATAACAGAAAGCTAAAGCTTCAAGTACAGCATGGCTGGCTAGTCCCAAATAAGATCAAGAACACTATGATATCCTACAACAAATAGCCAGATTGCCCGACAAGAGTGTGTTCTGCTTTGAGCTCAAAGAAAATAACATTTCAAAATCAGCAGGAAAAAAATGTATAAAGAAAAATATATTCTCTCCGAAGGTTAACAAGCCTCGAGTGTCATATGACCAGGATTAAAAAATTTTCAGCAACACATGTCAACGACAGGGGGCAAACATGTTTTCACTAACAACCATGGACATGGATCTATGAGACCATGTGACTTCAAGGTAACACTGCAAGTGGATCTGACATGTACCAGGGAATGAATATGGATATGCAAATATACTTGTCACATTGTCCAAACCTAGATTTCCTAATGAAAGTTCCAGATACAGATATGGATATTAATTGCATTCCAAAGACATTGATAGCATATCTACTCCAATCAACATGCCAAGCTTACAGGTTATTGTCGTGAAAACTTACATTGTTAAAACAAATGCATTGTCCAGATATCCATATACAAATGCATCAAAACAAACTCAACGAATCATTCTCATGAGTAGACACTGGACCTCTCACTTCATCAGTCATTTTTCTTCACAACTTTTATGCTCCTATACAAATATAATTAAAGGTCTGAACTTAGCCCCTTAACTATCATCAGAATGGACTTATTAATATCTCTTTTTGTTTGAACAATATGATGACATTCAACAGAATAACTATAGTGGGATGACAAATAGACATAATCAGATCCATGCAATAAATATCATGCATGAGAAGAATCCTTCACTTGATGACATAATCAGATCCATGCAACACATACCATGCAGCTCATAAAATTGACCCACAAGTTAACATTTAGATAAAGTTACTGTTCCAACTGAAGTTTTAGCTCCTTGGGTCTTTTCCTTAAGCAAACTTGACACAATATAGTAGGCAACCATACTAAAGTATGAACTTTTAGAGACTTGATTCCGCAAAAAGCAAAGGCAAAAGCCTAACTATTAGGAGAATACAAATGTCTATTAGCACGCAGAATAATAGAGAAGGCAAAAGCCTAACTAGACTGCTAGAGCAACTCTAAAATGTTGACCATTTCGGATGCTAATCATAATAGAGAATGACCAGATGCTTTCAGCACACTACTGCAGGTTTGTATCAGCAAAAATGTGTATTATATAAGTCAAAGAAGGAATCTACTCAGATAAAGCAGCAAAGCACTAGAGATCAAGATAGACGCACCATAGCAAAGAAGCTACTTGTATCGGCTAACTGGTGAAGTATGATAACATGCCGAAGCTCCTCGAACGAATAAGCGCAATAAAATCGTATTGAATTCATGCGAAGCAATCCAGAGAAGAGGTAATGACGCGATACCTAAGAGACGCTGCAGCATCTCGACGTTGGCGGCCTCAGGGACGGTCTTAGGGTCCTTGAACACCGTCTTGCAGGCCACGTACAGACGCTGGATCGCCGTGGAGGCGGCCTGCACCCGCCGCCGCGTCCCTCTGCTGCACCCTCGCTTCCTTACCAGCTTCTCCCCCTTCCTCTTCGCCCCCGCTGGCTTCTTCTCCCCCTCATACCCATTAGTCGCCTCTACTTTCATCCAGGCCTCGCGAACTCGCCCAAGGTATGATCTTTCACCCCCAGCACCTCAATTCCAGCACCAAAACTCTCCAAGGTTCTAACTTTACCGGCTCCAAAGATCTAATCTCGAAGTAGAAGCGAGAGAAGCCCAAACTTTCAGTAGACAACCCCGGTATAGGATCGGGATCGACGAGCACTGTACGAAAAAAATAGGAATTTTGGCGATAAAGAAAGCGAGAGGGGGGGAGGAGGTATAAAGGCGGAGAAGGGGAGGCAAAACCAGGGGCCATGAGATAGCTTCGTCGCGAGAAAACCAGACTCCGCCCCCGGAAGGAGGGAATTGCCCAAAAAAATCCTTTGGGAACACCACCAAAACTGCTTGTTTTCCACCCGACTCCGCCCGCCTTATTGCGTTCCCGAAACAGCTCTTTCCGACCATGGAACACAGTACACAGATTCGAGTCAAGCGTAGAACTGTTACCTGTAAAATGACCGAATCACCCTCGTCCCGATTGTTCGTTTACTCAGTCAACGTAAGAACAAGTCGGGAGAGACACGAGAGATTACCACGACAAACCACCCGATTGCAGATTCTAATATCTTTTAATCTCAACCATCCATCTGTCTCGTCAAGTCAAATCTATCACACGTTTTTTTCATTTTTAAAATGAATTGACGGTTGAGATCGAAAGTGGTTTCAAAAAGGACGGTTTGGAGGCACAACGAATCGTTCTTCGCTGAGAGTTGCGTTCCCTCCCACCTACCCCATCTCTGTTCACGAAGGTTCTGACTCGCGGTAGGTGTCGTGGCCCGTCTGACTCACACGAAAACTCGTGTCATTTGTTGTTACCTCTGTTGTGAAAACTGGAGGATATTATACACAGTTCAAACATCACTCGAATACGAAATTGAAAGAATAAATATCATTTTAATGGGCACCAATTTTGGAGGATAAGTAAGAAGACCTTCGAGTATGTACGTAGCTATTATATTTCACATTTAGTGACTGGATGCTGATGGATGACCCATATACGACGTGTTCCCAACTAAGCATTTGGACGTATGTTAGATCTCTTGTCCTAATGGACTGACTATTCTCCTTTTCTCTGCTTCCAACTTGACCAAAGCATACTGTATATAATCATAAAAAAAAAATTGGTATTTTTAATATCATCATAAGTCACTTGCATATTATATTTCCATATTATTCGTTTTAAATACGATTGATAAATATGTTAATCTGATTTGAAACAAATTTTATTTATTTATTTATACCAAAAAGAATCTGAGCGGAGATTGCAGGATCTGCTGAAAGTCGTCCGACAAAGAGAGGAGGTAGAAACCCATTCGAGGATGGACGCGTCGGTGCGGCCCAGACACGAGCACGACGTCGTGCGGCCACGCGGCGAAGCAGGGTAGGCACGTGATTTGGACCGGTGGAAGCTTCACGAACGTGCCAGCTGCGCAGTTTACGTCAGCATAAATGGCGTCAACTCGGTGACTGGGTTCGCCCACATCCCCCGACGGCGCCAGGTGGCCGGAACAGCGCATGCAAAATTACCAGATATGCGTGGGTTGACTCTTACTGTTTTTGCCGAAAACACAAAAGCTGTGGCAGAACAGTTGACCCCGACAACATTTGGCAGTCAACTCTCACATTCATCTCCGTCTTTAAGAACAGAAGAGTTGTGGATTTGGCATGCAGATCTCTGAGAGGGATCCACTGCAGTGGCCCAGTCTGCTACAGTCATCAGTGGATCTGGGCCTGGATATTGAACTTACACCACAATGTGTATATTGTATATTATATCTGACATGTTTTATTTACATATATAATTAAAAAAGGAACAGAAAAATAAAAGAAACACAGAGACTATTAGATATTGTTTATTTTATATACAAAATGTTTTAGATGTCTCGATTCGGCATGCGTTCGCGACATGATAAGACTAATCTTTTAGATGTCTCGATTCGGCATCATGACGTAGATTTATAACCGTTCATTCTAACACTAACACCATCGCTCTAATATCTGCAATCAGGACATGAGTTACTTTTATTTGCGACGTCACATAATGATTAAAATTTATCTTTTAATTTTTTTTTCTATAGAAAATTTTACATATATATCCTCGTAATTTGGAAATGAAATAATATATGTACCATAATAATTTTTGATAAAGCATATGTACACCTCCAAATATTATAATAATCCATATCTGCTAGCGTTGTTGATGCCCATCCAAAATGTCCAGATTGATTGATCATTTATAACCATGATTAACATTGGCTTGTTTCAGTTAAATAAATGCATAACTCTAATGCTTTTCTGAAGTAAAATACCGTAATTTACAGTTTCATAACTTAAGTTTTAGGCTTTGGAGGTATATATATATATATATATATATAGAGAGAGAGAGAGAGAGAGAGAGAATATGAGAAATTCTTTAGCTTATATAAGCGGTGCCCAGTTGTCCCCGACAACCGCAATTGTAAGGACTTAGAAACGGTGTTCCTACAATCATCACTTTCTAACGACGCACTGCAAGGAGCAATACGAATGACTATACACATAAATAAGCTGCAAGAGGACATACGACCAAGCCTCATCGGCCATCGATCCCCTTCCACTAGTCGCTCAAGTATAAAAGTCGATCCTCAAGGTTTGAAAGGTTCGAACAAGGGATCGGACATGAGACTTCCACTGTTTATACTCTCTTCAAACTAACTTTATCATCATAGAGGTCGGGTCGAAAAATCTCCCATGACATCGATTGCTTATGTAGGGTTTCCAGCAAAGCTAAGACACACCTTGGTTCATCTCCAAAACGCCGATGAGACTAGCACCTCCTTGGTCTAACTCGGAATCCATATCAAGCATTCAACCACTATCGTGGGATCACTTGAGCTGGATCTTTCTTGACTCTTATCACCTTACACAATCACCACCTGGGCTCATGAGCTTACGCCTTTGGGACAAAATCAAATCATATCGATTTCCGATAGACAATATCAACACTACATCATATTTCACTAAATCCTCTCGTGATAGTAACAGTGGTTAGTGATGATTTAGACACCCTCGATATCAGGATTCAAGCCAATCATCATGTGTTTGATTGTGAGGACCACCATGGAGCCTGTCACCAGGAACAGCACGTTGTGATTTATTGTTTCTGGTGTTAAAGCCTGTGGTGGTCACCTGCCATTTGTTTTAGTGGTCTCATGCATCCTTCTCCCCCCACCAGATCTTCTTTGTGGTCTCATATGTTTTAGATTTTGGCTCTGATGACCTGAAGGCCACATTCATTATTCACATCCTCCTTCTTCTTCTTGCTCTTCCATCACCAACTTTGAAGAAATCAGGTGGTTGTGTGTGTGCTCTTCATAGTTATCAACAGTTTAATTCACTGCTCTGAAATTTTCAAGTCTGTGGTGGTCACCGGGCCATATGTTTTGGTGGTCTCATGCATCTCTTCCTCTGCCATATCTTCAGATCTTTCTTCTTCTTCTTCTTCCATTGCTAACTCTGAAGAAAATAACTTGTTGTGTGTGCTGTTCAGAGTCTTCAACAGTTGAAAGTGCCAAATATTGAAAACAATGAACACTTTTATATAGATCCTGTCACCAAGACATGTTTGTTTTTAGTATTCAAGTCTGTGGTGGTCACCAGCCATCTGTTTTATGGTCTCATACATCTCTGCCTCTGCCAGATCTGTTTATGGGGAATCATGTGTATCTGCATCTGCCAGATCTTCTTAGATCAAGAGGAAAAAAAAAAAGAGTATGTTTCTGTTTAGATCTTGCTCTGATGAACTGAAGGCCACATTGCTCCCATCTTTCTTCTTCTTCTTCTTCTTCTTCTTCTTCCATTACTAATTCCAAAGAAAATAGGTGGCTGTGTGTGCTTTCTATAGTTTTCAACAGTTGAAAGCACCAAATGTTTGAGTAACTTAATCAACAAACCAAGAAAGAAAAAATTGGAAACAATGAACATCTACATTGACTTTGTCACCAGAAACAGCATCTTGTCATTGACTTGAAACCTGAGGTGGTCAGCAGCCATATGTTTTTGTGGCCTCTTGCATCCCTCTTCCACTGCCAGATTATGGTAGAGCAAGGAACAAAAATAAAACAAAAAATGGACTCAAATAATCGTAGTATGTTAGGAGGAATAGAAGAATTTTAAAATCTAAATGAAAACACATAGATCAATAAACTAAAAAAAGTGTATATTAAAAAAGTTATCGTAAGATTAACATTATTTGATAAATTCATGCTTATATTCATGGAGAAAATTCATATTCTTTAATTTATAAGATTAATATACCTCTCGTATTAATCAAAATAATTTTTTTCTCGATTCATTATAGAGTATATTTATAGGAACAAATCAAAATTTATTAAAGAGTTTCAGTTTATAGAAAACTCTTCTAATTAATTCATAATTTATAGAATTATGAATTATAGAAATTATGAATTATGAATTTTAAAATATAAAATAAAACACATAGATCAATAAACTAAAAAAAAGTATATTAAAAAGTTAACGTAAGATTAACATTATTCGATAAATTCCTACTTGTATTCATGGAGAAAATTCATACTCTTTAATTTATAAGATTAATATACCTCTCGTATTAATCTAAATAATGTTTTTCTCAATTCATTAAAGAGTATATTTATAGGAACAAATCAAAATTTATTAAAGAGTTTCAATTTAACTAAAACTCTTCTAATGAGTTCAAATATAATTAGAATTCTTAAAAATACTTGTCAATATTAAACGACAATTAGATATCAAATATTGTTTATCCTAATAGTCTTTTTATTTTTGTCTATCAGAGGTGAAGAAAATTGAAGTGTATACATTTGTTTAGGTAGCAGTTTGAAGAATCCGAAGTCTGACCATAGAAGGAAGCAAGTGAGAAGGATAGTGTTGGAACGTGGAAGACTCTCCTCCCTTTCGTATGGCACACACAAAAGTCAGCACAACAAAAAGAATAATCAAAGCATTGATCTGTTTATTTTTAGTATATTTATTGATCAATCCTTATCTTTTTTTAATATAATATTATATTTCTGTTATAATTATTATAACCGAATCAGAGATCCATCTAATAAAATTTTAGATCAACGACATGCAAATCACAAAGGAGATTGTTAAATAACAAGTTCTGATTGTATTAGGCTGTAAATGTTTTTCTTAATTTTCTAGCTCATAGGATCCTACCCTAACCCACCAAGATCACATGTCTTTTATAAAAGAAAAGCAAGAATGACTTGTCATATACTTAGGGTATCATCTAGTATGTCTTATTTTTGTACTTGTTTGTAGGGTCACAATAA